TCTCCCTTTTCTTGAACGATAGAGGAAGCCTAAAAAAGTAGCTTTCACCACATTTTCAGATGTCAAAAATTGAATATAATCAAGCCCATTTTTGACAAAATATACATAAAATCATAGAATCACAGAATTATTTAGATCGGAAAACACTTCTAATGTTATTGTGTCTAACCATTAACCTAGCACTGCCAAGTCCATCACTAAATCATGTCCCTAATATAACACAGAAACATTGAGTCAGTTTGAGGCTGAACAAATTTGAGGATTTAGGAATGTGGAGTTTTACCATATCAGTGTCAGAATAAACTTTTCAGATCTACGCAAGCACTGAAACCAAAAACACAATATTGCAAATTCTTGCTTTTAAATGAGGAAATTCCTTTAATTCCAGTTCAGCCTTCCTGCTTAGCTGCTTGAAAATCTCTCAAGCTCTCCTAGTACATCATTCTAGGGCAGTCCAACTTCTAATTATCCACAGATTAAATTATAATTGCAGGCAAAACCTCAGCAGATACACTTTTTATGTCATTTCATCTTCCATATATTTGCCCAGCTAGAAACCTAAAAGTAAAAAAGACTTCTGTTTTCATTTTAAAAATCACTGCAGCTCTCCTACTGAAAGACAAGCAATGAAATGTCTCTTTGCATCCCTTACATTTGAAGCACCTGGGAAAAGGTGCAAAATGTTTTCATCAAGAATGTTCAAATGTGGAGCTATTCATGAAGAGTTTTTTTAATGGTTAATGTATTGTACCATTTCATGAATATATATTGGGTTTTTTGGATGGTAGTTTCACTCACATTGAGCTAAACTCATGTTAGTTTATTCAAGGTCTGGTATTGTTTAGCTACTTTCACTTCCAATCTAATTAACTTGAACAAAAAGAGACACACCCAACCCTCTGAAAAATTTCCAATAAAACATTAGTCAAATTTTGATAATGAAAAAGAATTTGAACAGGGAGGAAAAAAAAAAAGTGCTCCAAATCTTAGAACTAGTGGTGGAGGAAACAAGCAATAGACAAAAATGCCCATACATATCAAATCACAATTACTACACTGGTACTAACTGACATCTTCTTAATAATAACAATGGTAATACTTCCACATAATATATAGACATGGAAAGTTAGCACAAGACAGGTTTCACTTCCCCTAACTTTAGCTGTTCAAATTTTACACTCTAAGCTTAAGTTGGCAGGTAGACTTCCTCTAGAGCTAATGGAAAAAGGAAGATACAAGAGGGTTACAGTAGCTTTTCTAAGAAAAGTAGACAGGATATGACTATGGGGGAGTTTCATTTCATTGACTGCAAAATGAGCCTTGACAAATGGCTTAGACAGACACATTTAAATGAGGATGATGTATCTTACCACAAAACGCAGTGGCATGACTTCTTAAGGAATCTTTTCCAATACTGAATTTCAAGGTTAGGGCTGTATGAAATGTAAGATAAATGAAAATCAAAAATTCTCTATGTGATATGCAATGCATAGGTACTAGATGTCATGCAAGGATGAATCTAATTTATTTGTGCCTGCCTTTCAGATTTTATGTCACTTTTCAGCGTTCAAAAGACGTATTCATTTCACTTGGTTGTACATGAGAAATTTGGTTTTGGTTAAATAATTTTATGGTGTCAGATAAAAATTAACCTCAATGAAATTTTATCACAATCAAATAATGCACATTTTGGACAGAATTGTTTCTTAAAAGGTAAAGAATGAAGGCTTTCAAAAGCTAAGCTTTTCTACTTTCAGTAGAATGAGGGCTTTAAAAAACTAAACTTTTTCTGTCATTTTGGGGAAATATAAGAAAAATTTTTCTGAATAAAAAGCAAAGCCAGGGAAATTTCATTGAATTGACTTTATCTCTTATGGGAGATATTGTACAAACTTAATTCAGGGAAAGAGTTTTGATATTTCAAGCAACACGAAAAACTTGCATAATCCAATATATAAGGAACATGAGATGCAACTATGATTTTCAGCATTCTGTTTGAGAAAACAAATTTCACCACACTCCAAGGTATACTCTGAGCTGAATTCTACAGTTTGGACTGCCTTCTACACATAACTTTAAACCCAACTATTTTTCTTGTAATACTCCTCAGCGATTTGTATTTAAATAAAAGAGACTAAACCTTGACCCTCCATTTGCACCTTGTAAGTGTTAGACCTGGGATAAAGAACTGTGGTTTCAGAGATATCATACAATGCATTGTCAGGAAAAGGCATGGATAGCTTGCATACAAAATTTCCTGAAAACTATGTTTGCAAGGAATTTGCTTTGTTATAAGGCTTTTAAGTCCTTTCTACTTATTAAACACTGTTCTTTTGGGAATATACATCTCCCGATATTTTTACTTCCTATGGTAAAATATAGTATATTGTTTTCCCTCAGGTATTTCTGTTCTAGATAGAACTTTAAGCTGATATGAAAATCTGCACTGCCTGTAGGAAAATACAATCCATTAATTGTTATAGCATCTGCTTTTATACTGACCTCTGCAACAGGAAATAGAGTACAAATGACCCAATAAAGTTGGTGATATAAAATATAAATAGCATTTTCCTTCTTGCTGTTGTGTGGGCTCTTCTGCATTTCTGGATGTCCTGCAACACAATATAACTCACAAAGTCCTGCTGCAGAAAGACACCGGAGGAAATCTGTGAGTTTATGTGTAAGTTGCTGGAAAAAGAAGTTTCTAACCTGGACCTGAAAATTAGTTGCAGAAAACTACTTCATCAGCTTATTTTGAGAACAAAGAGAATGCACATTTTGTTTAGAGATACAAAGCAACTCTTTTTAGTATATATGACCATGTCCTTGACTCAAAACAAAAAATATGTTACAGTTATACTTCTAATTATAGATGTCATATTTCAATTGTAAAAGTACTTCAAATTGTGTGTCTATTTAAAAAAATCATACTATAATCATACTGTTTAAGTAAAAAAAAAAAAAGCAGAGACAAAAACCAGACAAAATCATGCATCATTTGTCAATTAATGACTGTCATTTCAAAATAGTATCTTTTAAATTTTTTAGATGGAATTAAGTATTCAAAGTATCTGATTTTTCTAGAATATGTTATGCCCATCTCAATAGGAGGACATCTCTTAAAAATTGTACAATCTTTGTTTTACAAAACAGTGACTGGACTTTTTCATTAGTCTACGAAACTGTTTGGTAACTTTGAACTGTCCAGTCAGTTTCCAGATGTTGGCACAGAATTCCACTACATTTACCATAAGTTTCCTAGTCTTAATTGGGTTTCTTGTAAAGCAAGCAGAATTTTTTCCTTCTAAATATGGAAGTCAAAGTTGATTTAAGACCCAAAATGTAGTTTTTAATTAAATTTTTAAATATAAATGAGGTGAATTATTTGTAATCTGAAAAAAAATACTCAAGTTTGCCTTGCCAAGCTCTTCAACTGTTGTAACTTCTCCTTTCTCCCCTTCACTCACATCTTTCCCCATGCATGTAACAACAATTCTGTTGCTATGCTGAACTTCTAGGCATGTTAATTAGCTGTCTAGTACAATATATGCTGCTTGATTGAGGCTCTAGCATCATCCCCCACAGGAACTGCTGGCAAAGATGAAGCTGTAGTTTAACACTACTTGACCAACGTCCACACTTCCCCAGACTTGTGAGACCATGCTCAATTCTCTGCTTTTCCCTCAAATGGAATCAGCTGAAGCTGACTGCTAGGTTCAAAGATTACTTGGGAAAATGGCATATATGCAATAGAACTGATAAACTGACAGCATAATTGCACAATTTTCAATCCTAAAGGGTGATTATAATCAGCAAATTAAAAGCTGAATAGGGAATATGTTTGTTATCTTTTGAAAACACTGTTTTCTTGACCAAATGGGGTCATCACAATTATTTAAAATTACTCTCTTGCATTTTAGCAGGGCCCTTGCAAGGACAAAGGAAGAAAATGAAAGAATATCTCCTTTAAGGGATACAACAAAAATCTAGGTACTAACACTGTGATTTCTATGTGTGTCATGTATTCCACTCTATCAATACAGACAAATAAGCATGCAAGAGAACTTCAAGGGAAATCCATCTAGTGGATTTCCAATGTCTTTTTCATATCATGACACCATTTATTCCTCTTCGTTATTCATTTTTTTTTCTCTTTTTGTGACAGGAGAGCTCACTTCAAAACAACATTTGACCGATACCCATGTATTCCAAACAATGAACATGATACTATCAGCCATCACAAAGGCATGTGAAACAGTGGGTTTTTTTGTCATCTATCTTGAAGAAAGTGGATGTTTTTCTCCCTTCCTAATTATTCTGACAAATCTTCCTTTGTCATCAACAGATGCAGAAAAGACTGGTGACTGCTACAGCTACACATTGAGCACATTTATCTCTCTGAAAACGCCTACTGACATTCTTTGAATAAATCATGTCAGAAGTAGCTTTCTCTCTTTTCATGATTCTTTGAACAAGAAAATCTCCACATTTTTCTTTTCTATGGGCTGCGATGCAATACAAAAATTTTTTCCCTACCAACGAATATGTAATGAAAGTTTTGCAGTTACATCCATCATGTAAGTTGAAAATTAGAAAAACAGTCTTTACAATCTTACCTTCCATATAGTGTGTACATTCCTTTCAGAACACTTATTGCTATTCTGTCCCTAATGAAGTCATCAAAATGTTAGCCATGGATTTTTCTAAATTAAGGATTTAATTTCCAGGATGGATTCAACTCTTTAGTTTATGTATCTACAGTGTAGTCTTGTACCTCTCTGCTATCCACTTCAGAGCTCTATAGATATTAGAGGGTAAAAGGGTGTCTTGGATCATGAAATGTCTAATCTTTTTTAGACCTCTTACAGTATGATATCTTTCACACACTGGGTCTTTCACACAGTGGGAAATCCTGATTCTCTTCAATGGTTATTAACAAAATCCTAAAATTACTAGTTCAGGCAAAAATATCTCCAATTACTTTGATGAATTTTACTTACAGGACTTAGTTCAGATGGAGGTAAAGACAGCCAGTTCACAAGTAGCATCTGTCAGTGTAAAGTGTACACTTGGCAGCTGGTTTTCCCTTCTTCAGGTAAAAATGGTCACAGTTTTCTTCTTGCAACACCATTTTAACTGTCATTCCCATGTAAAATTTGTCATTCAAACAAACCAACAAAAGAAAAAGCAAATAGAATTCTAGTTCACAGGTACTAAGAAGAATCCTTTTGGTTGGTTGCTATGATTGAGCAAATGCTCAGGCTCCATTTTTTAGGAACTCATTTTGTGAGGTCATGAAAGGAAAAGAGTCAAAATTAAACATTGTCTGCTCCATGCATGTCTGCTAATCTATTTCCTCAGCTGCTTTAATAGGATTCTTTTACATGTGGAATTCTGATAAACATTAACAGAGCTAAAGTTAATGTTTACACTTATAGTAGGTTTTGGGGTTTTTTTTATACTGGAGAGTGGATAGAAAATAGTTTGTTAACAGGAAATTAGGTTGAGTTCATAATAGACATAGGACTACTAAGGTTACCATTTATAGCTTCATTCTTTACCTGCTGCTATGTAAGATTATACTCCTTTCTTCACAATATTCCATATCTTTTGAAGATATGACAAAACTTATCCTTTAAGCCCCTCTCCCTTTCCCTCTTGATACTCCAATCCAAGCAACTTGCACTTTTAGACCAAAATTTAGTGTCCAGTCATTATTTCTGTAAATTCTGATTTTGCATCATACCCCCTAAAACTAATCAAAATACATTCATGGCTGAACTCAGTTTTTAATAGTATTAAGAAAGCTGAGTTAGCTTCTTGTTGAAATATTTGCATGTAAGAAGCTGCAAATCAATAATAATATACTATGCTCTGTTATCCTTTTAAGCACATATTCCTGGCTGACGCTTGTCTAATTAAGTTCATGAAAAAGTTGAAAAAATGGCATAAGCTAAGCTTACCCACTGCCTGTTTAGGCAAAAGGCATTAGCAATGTTCAGAACAAGGAGGATATAATGAGTATCAGTTCTAAGGTTATTCCTCTTTTTGTGTCTCTTACTTCTCCCTCAACCCTGCTGGCTTGAGTTGAAGGCCCATCTGAAGATTATCAACTCTGCTGGAAAATGCAACAATTAATAGGTTGGGTAGATCTAAGATAAAAAAATAAAATTTGTCTATTAAACTGGTGAAATATATTTTGTCTGATATTAGATAAATGTATACTTTTATCTGATCCAAAGGAAATATTTAAGCAAGAACTCTGTGCTCTACAGTAAGTTGGACTAAACAACAATAATAATTCCCTTAGCCTTGAAGTCCCTTCACTCTGAAGTAAATTTATAGCCATCTCACTGGAAATTCCTTCACTGTGATGGGTTATCTTACATATTTTGCAGGCCTAAAGATTTGGAGAAAGTCAATAAAATACATATGGATACACATGCAGTAAATTACGTTTTTTGTAATGTAAAATCTCAGGATTGAGAACATAATATGCAAAATATAAAATCAAACTGATTAAACACCTTAGGTTATTCTAAAATTATACTATTTATTGGATTTTGAATGATTAAAGAAAGTACTAAACTGAGCATTTATCTGAATTTAAAAGTTCCTTTCCCCCTCCAAAATAGTTCAAACAGTACTAAAATGATGTGAACAACTAATCTAATAAAATAATTTACCAAGAAGGGTTTAATCAAATTATAAGAAGCCAGTTTTATTATTTAAGGCTATCATTATATATATTACATCATTATACCAGCTACTCTAATTTTAGTTCTACTAAATATATGAATTTACTATCAATTTGATTCACAAAACAATCCCTTGCAAATTTGTCAATCAAGCTGTCTATGAAGGCAAATTTTGGAAAAGACAGTGACTAAGAAAAGATCACCAAGTTCAGAATTTTCTCCATGTTCATTTGCATCTTTATCGGTTCGCACAAAACCCCCATTTACTAATATCTCAAGCTTTCTTCCACCCAGCTTTGCTATTTCCCATGTGAAATACTCAATTCTGACTCTGTAGTGTAATTACTAATGGAAGTCTTGTTGCCATAGTTGCAGCCAAGACGGTTGTCTTAAATTAGATATTGTGACTACAAGACCCATCACTGTGGTGATCACTGTGGTCTAAACACCCCTCTTTTCTGTATCCCTTTACCTTGATACTTAGGAAGGTCCTCATGCTGCTTTAAGTACTGTCTGGTGACGGGGCCCAAACACAAAAATATAACTAGTTTAAACATAACTATAAAACTAGCTATAAAGTCAATCCAAATGTTTCTAAATGAGTTATTGGAATGGCTACATTATAGGTATCTGCTCAGCTGGATGCTAAAAGATGATTTTTATCCTGTGTAATTTCTTCCTGTTCCAACTCACCTCCCAGTTCTTACCCTCTCCAAAGCAAGAGATACGCTTTGGGGAGAGCAGCCCACATCTCCATACCACTACAGTCCTCATTTTCCTAATTGGTACAGCACAACTAGCGCCCTACATGCAACTATGTACACCAGTATTTCTGTTATCCAAGAAATTATAAACCTAGAAGCTGTGATTAACATCTTTAGCTCCTTTTACTGACCAGTAGACCAGGGACCTAGAAAAAAACTCTGATGAGGTGCTTTGAACCTACAAAACACTGTTCCAGAAGCATTGTGATTACTGTCCTCAAATCAGCTTATAAACCGGGCTGCAAATGTCAGGTGGGCAATCTGATGAGATACCAACTTTGGACCATTACTGAAAAAAAAATCATCTGAAGAATACTTCAATTCCTCAGCAAAGACCTTTCAAAAATATTTTTTGGGAAAAAAATATTCTAGCTTCTACAATCAGCTTTAGTGCAGTGATAATGATTTAGCTGAGTACTGAAGCAATAGATTACTAGAAGAAATAAAGTTTTGACATCTGTGAGATATATATTCCTCCTTGTCTGAGTAAAATACTTCTAGAAAAGGCCATCAGAAAAGAGTTTTCAGACAAGGTTCTAAAGAGGAGACAAAATGGGACTGAGAACAAACATGGTCAATGATATGACCATTCATATTACTTTAATAAAAGCACTCAAAGAGCACTCTTGAAAGCAAACAAATGCTGTTTTTCCAGCAGTCAAAACTCCACTGTTTTGGTGACTACAGATCTCCCGTTAGAGCCTGGAAAGCTTCTAAAAAGGTTCAAGATCTCAGGCAGATAAATGCATGTTAGGTGCACAGGTATTTGCTAATGATGCCAGACTGAGTTAATCAAGAAGCTGCAACCTTTGATTTCTGAACAAGGTCAAAAAGGCTACTTTGGCTGCCGAGTTTGGGGAAAATATTGTCCTGAATTGCTCCACAGGGAGTTATTTGGATTGCTGAGCTAGCTTTAAAGCCTCTGCAGAAGGTGCTGACCTGAACCAAGGTCTTGGCTCTGAGCCCAGCCCTATCGGAGAAACAAGGTTTCCATAGACAGTAAACACAGATTAATCCAGGCAAAACACTGCCTCATCAATAAGATCCCTATTCTTAATAAAATTAACTCTGTAGCTGGCAGATACATATTTTAACAACCCCACTATGGTCACTGGATACTTGGACTCTGCTATACTCTAACAAACAATTTTTGATGGAGGTAACATAATTTCTTTAAAGAGAAAACATATTAGTTACACAGACTGAAGAAACACATTGAATTGTTCGTAATTATTATACTGAATATCTTGAAGATGATGAAAAATTGTTAATTGTTTCCCTAAAGGGTATGAAATAAGACCTGTATGAAATATTATTTTTTTCTTTTGCTTCTACCTGTGTAAAAAGCCCATGTCACTCTGAAACTGCCTCTGTTAATGTTGTATCACCTGAATAAATGCTATCCCATAACAGAACCCAAAGCAGAACACTGCACATCTGTCCACAGGCTTCCTGTGTACCATCAATTCTGAAAATTTCTGGCTATCAGATAACCTTCTTCTTACCTCTTGAGTTCATTCCGGTCTCTGAAACCAAAATTTTCCATGAGCTGGAGGAAAAATCTGCATCTTTATTTTTTTCAGGTTATACTTTTACAAAATACAGAAAATATTTAGACATCACACAAGTGGCAGAGCAATGACATGCATAGCATCACTTCTATTGATTTCTTAGTCATTGAGAAGCTAGAAAGGAGAATATTACAGCATGAGCAATGTTGTGTTTCACAGAAAATGAATTTTCAGATTAAGAAAAAGCTACTAATCACAGACTCCTATTGTCAAAGCAGAACTTCCTCTTTCATTATGACTATATACTTTAAACAATTTCTAGGAAGTGTCAAAGTTATATTTGTTACACCCAAGGATCATTTTGCAGAAATGGAGCATAGCTACTTGGTTTTTTTATCAGTAAATATTGCCACCATTTGATTAAATTGCTATAAGAAGTCTCTCTCTTTTTAAATTACAAAATAAATCTAAAGCTATACTTGTCCCATGATCTAGATCCATTGATACTGTAAAGCAATTCTTACAAGAAACTACATATTTAAATTCAAAAGTGTGATCTAAAAATTCTGCTCTGAGTTTAGAGGTAACCATGCTATTTGGATGCTGACCTGTGTGAGTCCATAATGTTCTCCAGACATTTAGAATTTTGATTTTTGCATAGTTAGAACTGTGCTTTCAAAACAATTTCCTGTCTGCATCAAACCTCCAGATCAACCTCACTAAAGAGTTCTATCCTGAAGACACATTCAGACTATGCTCAGCAAAAATCAATAGGATTAGTCTTCTCACAAATAGCAGTTGCCGTCACTTCTTTTAAGGTATGGGTGAAAGACGAGACTGTGTTCATCTCTTCTATAACAGCTTAATGTTTACAGCATTTGGTTGGATTCACTTCCCTTCCTGACCTGGACAGATCACTGTTTTACACTCCAAGGAAGATGTCCCAACTTTTGAGTCCTTTGAGAAGAAGGTGAAGTTGTGGTGATTAGTCCTGATCTCTGTTTTCTTCTCCTAGGACAACATGCATTCGATAGGATGCTCAGGATATTCTTAAGTAAATGAACTAATCTAAAATGACTGAATGGACCCAGGTAACCAGAACAATTCAGTCACATTTAAGGCCCTTCTCCTGCCTACCTGAAGGCCTGTTGGATATGGTGATGGAGTAGACAGCATTGTCCTGATATGGATTGTCCTGGAAGCCTTGCTTTTTGTCACCCTTTTTCATGAGCTGCTGGCAGCAACTCATTGATACACAATCACACACATGCCTGTCATATCTAAAAGGGCTGATATGCAAAAGAACAATACCATGGAATACATGCATAGTACTCATCTAACAGGACATATACACGTGTATTCAGT